TAGCTTTGATTGCTTACCTGGTTACAAACACATTTCCCCCGGAGTTTACGAGCGCCCGTAAAAATATTCAGACTTCATCTCGAGTGCTTACTCAGCCGGGCAGTAAAAATCCGCTCGTCGATGAGGTTACCTCTCCGTAGAAAGAACGTAACTGAACTTTGAGAAGAACCCTACGGTATATTAACGCGAGTGCTCTCCAAGGCTCACGTGATACGGAAGTTATGGTCTTTCGAGCCTTAAGGGCCCTGAAATTGAGTCACCTCTACCCGCTCATTCAAAATTAAACTTTTTCTACTGCCCCGTCAACTTTGGCAGTTCGCAGGCTGAGGTATGGGAGATGAGATGTGACATTAACTTGCGCGAGTTGAAGTTAGGAGGACGAGAATCCAGGGGTTTGAGAGTCAGTGTATTTCTGGTGTTGTTCCACTATTAAACATATTATGACGCCAAAAAATTGTCTTTTGTAGACGTAGATTATTCAATTATTGCATTGGAAAGGTCTTTGGTGCACTAAGAAAGTGGAACTTATCGCAACCAAGAATAACCCTTTCCTGATAGTATTTTGTTGTGCTGAATATAACAGAGATCGAAATTGTTCCCTGTTTGCTAAAATTTCGCGCGAGCCGAAAAATTGCTTCCACAAAAAGTTATCGGTCGACCGGTGGGAAGAAAATTTTAAAATCGTAAGAAGGGATTAATTAACACGTGCCTCACAGTTTCTATGCTTGGCGTCGCTCAAAAAGGGGGAAAAAATCGAGGGCTTTCCACAACTTTCGCGCGAGCTTGACGCACGTGATCGGGAATATCATCGGCCTCTGGAAGAAAAATTAATTTGCGAATCATCAAGATCGTTGATATTTGCTCATGTCTTATCGCAAAAGCCGACCAAATAGTATCTGGATCTTTATTCGATTCGACTAATATTGTAAGTAATATATCAGAAGATGAGCTTGAACATCATAAGATGTTGAAAGTAACACAGAAAGCACACTGAGGAAATTAGAATCTAGTCTGCAAGGTGGAAATACCTGGAAGAAACTGCAGAATGGACTGCGGCTTGAACTGCAGCGGTCAAGTGAAAAAGGAATGCTGCAGTCTTCGTAAGGGCAAAAACCGAACCTAAGCCTTCCTATCGTTATCACGTCGAGAAGAAAACCGTTGATGCCGTTCTGGCGCCGAGCCTTTTTGGTCGTAGCTTGGATGGTTCCACCTCGTAGGTTGACAAAAAGGGTTTTAAAACGGGTCATACTAAACCATGAAATAATCAAATCTCATTTATGTTATTTGTAGTAAACAAGCAACACTTCTTCATTGAAATACGTTTTATTTTAAGAGACATCAGTGGAAAATGAGAGATCATGATTTGACTGTCGAAGTACATCGGTCTCGTCATTTTCCCGCCATTCTGGCGCTTTTGAAATTCCTCCGAGTCTTAGAGCTTTTTAAAAGCGAGCTTGTCCGGGATTCCGGCTCCAGAAATACACAATAAATCGTCGCTTGGCTGACATAAGGGTGTTACTACATTTAGAGATGAGCCTGGGAACGCATTGAGTTATATGGGCGACAGGTTTCATCGCGAAGAGTAGATACGTCTTTATGTCAGGGGGGCGACAATATCACAGCGTAATCTAATCACATGTGGTTTTTATTGAATAGTAAGTGGTTATAGTATGGAATAGTAAAACACACAAGGTTTTGCGACCCATTTGCCGCTCAGTCCTCTAAATGGGCCTGTTGCATGCAAGAGATACAGCCGTGCGAATAGACTTTTCAGAGGTTAAATGACACGAAAATTACGATGGTCACATTAAAAAAGTCTGAAATGCAATCCTTAATGCGCAATTTGCGTTGTTAGGAACGCGCTTTTTCAAATTTCCCGCGTCTGGGGGCAGTTTTCTAACGGAAACAATTAACGGCAACTCGCGGCTATTTCCGGTCAACTAAAACTGACAACATAACCTAAAAATCGGAGCTCGTGATATCGTGAAATGAAATGTAGGAGGATTGCGTTGGATATTTAAAAGTTGATCGATTTGGTTAGCGCATAACGCGTATATGGACCACTATAAGAGATAACATCGGGTTTGTAAACAAACTGAAGGAAAAAATAACAACAACAACAACGACTCGGCATCTTCCGGAAATCACCGAACCCGCCGTTTGCTCGTTTCCGGTGATTAGAAAACTGCCCCCAGACGCGGGAAATTTGAAAAAGCGCGTTCCTAACAACGCAAATTGCGCAGTAAGGAGTGTATTTCCTTTTTAAATGTGACTATCGTAATTTTCGTGTCATTTAACATTTAAAAAGTCTATTCGCGCGGCTGTATCTCTTGCATGCAACAGGCCCATTGGACTACATTTTGCAATTTGGAATTGTAAATTATAGGCCGGTTTAAAAACAACGTATGTGCCATTAGTTGCCCTGTGCACATAAGTGTTTTTCCAGAAGAGCCAGAATTAATAGTTCCAAGGTGCAAAATGCAGTCCAATTAAAGAGCGCTGACTGAGATATACGGTACATGTAACCGATTTTTTTTTTTTTATTTATTTCATGTACACAAATAACTAAATTGATTAAAAGGTGAAAAATTACCTGGTATTTATTCACACAACCCTCGTATTCGAAACCTCTCCGAAAGGCGAATAAGCCAAGCCTATCTTATAAGAAGTCCGGAGTATTTGTTTGATTTATTTTAGGGGTTAAAGGCATAATTTCAAGATCCAAAGCCAAAAGGGCGTGCGGGTTTTTGGCCCAACGCGGCAGCGTCATTCTCAGCCAAATTGGTACTATTAGAAGGAATGAAAAGAAAAGACGGTGGTAAATGGTCTGGTGGCCGTGGAGGCAGTGGAGGGAAATTTAATTTCTGTATGGATCGTTTAGTGGACATTTCATGGTAGAGCTAATCATAAGGAAACACCCCTCGGATGACCCTGTTGCCAATGCGCTCCATGTTCATATTGAAGTGACTCCGCTGAGCTCAAACGGAATTTTCGGCTTAGTACATTAAAAGGCAACTCGGGTACCCTGATTTATCGGGACGGCATCCATTTTATTATTGAATAATTGGGATCGGCTGGAAATCGCACCGGATGACACTACGTCATAGAGGGAAGGAGTTGTCTACAAAATGTTTGACTTTTCCAGTTTATGTCATAAACATTTCTGGTCAAAATTTTAATTTCAACATTTGAACCCTGCTTTGAAATAACAAACTAAGCAAAGTCTCACATGAATTTTGCACTGCTTAAAAATACATTCTCTCGAATGCTCCACGAGAATGTAATGCGAGTTGGGTCTCTTATTGCTGAACTAGGTTCTCTTGCAAAGCTGCAATATGGCTTGCATTTTGCAATGAGGAACTACATTTTATGCCTCATACATAAAACCACCTATATGCGTAAGACAACTGATTGCACATATGTTGTTTTTAAAATGAGGCAGAAAGTGTAATTCCTCAATGCAAAATGAAATTCATTCAACAAATCGTACTCACAACTGTATCACTTTTGAATGTATATGGAACACAATAAACAGTCAAAAAAAAGTGTGACTCTATTCTCAATGAATATGAACTGGCGTTACGGACGATATTATCATGAATTCAATCGTTTTAATAATTGCTGGAGTTCTATTAGTAATTTTTTCACCTATCAAAGGTGAATCTTCATCAAAATCGGAAATTTTTTATTTATTTTTTGGATAAATTCTAAAAAGACAAATGCGTGTTTCCTCCACTATATGTCTTCACAAAAAGCCGAAAACCCCTGATATTGGCAACAACCACGACGAAACCCCCCGTCTAACGCTCATGTTTTTATTCCTCCCCTGAGACGACGGGCTTTTGCAAGCGCACCCCCCCTCCCCCAATCCAGCTCCCGCCTTTGACGCACTAACTGCTCAGCAGAGTTTCGGTATCAGTGATTTCGCTTGGACTTATCTGTTATATTTATGGCTCGGTTTATTACCTTTTAGTATTGTTTTCATGTTATTGATTTCGATTTCCTCAGCGGTGAGCAACTGCTCTCTCCTATTTTCTTCTTCTTTTTTATTTATTTTTTTCTCTTAAGAAAAAGTTTTACTTTTAGAAATCAGGTTGCACCGTCGGAGAGGTACTTTGCTTTGGTTAAATTTACAAAGGAGAGTTTTGTTACCTTGAGTCACCATAAAATAATGTACGGCAGAGAGGCTTGAAACCATGGTTTCACAAAGTCAAGGAAAGGAGCTTGCACTGGTTTACAAGTTCTGTTGGCAGCTTATTATCAAAAATTGGCATTTTCATCGCCAAATGAATGGATTAGGGCCAGTAGCTCAAATGTGACTAACAAGGTGGTTAAATAAAGCTGGTCAATACTATTTTGCAGAGAAAATGAAGCGATAGATTTTTCTTTTTTTAAATGTGTCGCAACGTGGCAAAAATTTTCTTGAAGTTTCATTCATTCACTATTTTTTTTTCCTTTTTTTTTCATAAGACGGAAATTTCTTAAAATGTTCATCGTAAGAGAAACCACCGTCAATAGATAAAGAAAAAAAGGATGCTTGATAACGACGGCGCAGAGATACAACTATTCGTGCTTGATGGACGTCCGTGTTGCATCTGCAAAATTGAAGGCGCGGTAAACTCGCACTCGGAATGCTCCTCTCTAAGCTGCTCGTGAGGTGTCGCTCAGATCCGAGAAAAAATTTGAAAGTCATCAAGTAAAGCCTCACAACATTGCAGTGTAGTTAGGCCCGTTTGCTCTGATCCTTCCTTATTCAGTATAAACTTAAATACAATCGCGTAGTTTAATACTGCATCGAGAAAAAACTTCAGTTACCAGGATTCGACTTTGAATCATAACTAAGATCAAAGGTTTTCGGTTCAGATAGGTAACCGGAAAGCTTAAATGTGTTTTATGAACCAAAATGAATACCTCTGTGTAACGGGTATAATCTTTTTAATTTTTAGATTCATTAAAGTTTTACCTGAAATTTAATTTTGTTTTTCTGTTTGTTTGTGCAGCATATTGGAGCTGAGGAAAGAGAAAAGCAGGGACGCAGCCCGCTCACGGCGGGGCAAAGAAAATTTTGAATTCTACGAGCTGGCCAAGATGCTCCCTTTGCCGGCCGCCATCACCTCACAACTAGATAAGGCTTCCATTATTCGACTAACCATATCCTACCTGAAACTTCGGGATTTCTCCGGCCACGGAGACCCCCCTTGGTCCAGGGACCTTCCTATTCATAAATCTGTAAAAAGTAAGTACCTTCATGCAATTCATACGACCTCCATTCCACCAATGAATTTTTACAATATAATGTAAAATTATGAATTTAAAAATTTCATGAAAAGTTGATTTTCACCTTTTTTTCATTTCATTTTATTACTTTCACATGTGTGCCTATTTGATCAAAATTTTCCGACTCTAACACATATTATGTCAAATTTATGAAATTCTATCAAGGTTTGTGAAAACAGCGTGAAAAATATCCGTTTCCATTAGACATAATACCAAATACCCATTTATGCGAAAGGACAGGGACAGGTCTGTGTAACTAAATATTCAGAGAGTTCGAAAGGATGAGGGTAATAATCTTCATACCAATGCTTTTACATAATTTGAGCAAACTTAACCATGACTTTTTTCAAATTTAAAAAATAAGAGACACCTTGATGACATCTCAGAGATAGAACTATTCGTGCTTTATTCGTGGGTTGATTACGGCGCAGAGATACAACTATTCGTACTTGATGGATGTCCGTGATGCATTTGCGAAATTGAAGGCGCGATGGCGCGAAGCGTGAACTCGCAATGCTTCCAATCGTGTAAATTAGATTCGGGAGAAAAGTTAAAAAATGAGACCCGATTACGCCTCTCCTATCTTCGGCTGTGTTGCTCATGTAGCCCTGAAAGCTCCACCACAAAGAAGACACACGGAACCAATACTATATGGAAATAGAGCAAGGAAAAGGTCGCGTGTTATTGACGGCGCAGTGATACAACTATTCGTACTTGATGGATGTCCGTGATGCATCTGCGAAATTGAAGGTGCGATAGCGCGAGGCGCGAACTCGCAATCATCTGCTGCATGCTTCCAATATTGTGTCAATCCAATTCGGGAGAAAAGTAAAAAATAAGGCCCTATTGCGTCTCTCCTATCTACTGTTGTGTTGATCGTGTAGCCCTCGAAGCACCACTAAAAATAAAACAAACAGAACCAGCATAATACGGAGACAGATCAAGGAAAAAGATCCGCGTTGTTGATGGCGCAGAGATACAACTATTCGTACTTGATGGATGTCCGTGTTGCATCTACAAAATTGAAGGCGCGATGGCGCGAGTCGTGAACTCGCAATGCTCCGTTCGTGAAGCGTGTGACATGCTACCCTGATGATTTTATATAGAGCATTAAGTACGTGTTATAAATACATTCATCTCAGCTCTCTTAGGTAACCATCAGACACCCATTAATATTTCAAGGGTCGATCCCGAAAATTCCATCATTTAGCGAGGAAAGCCACCGAACCCGCGACTCCATTGACATTCATCGCGTACGGTTTGACACGCGGCATGATAGCATAAGTCGATTGGCGCGACGATTAAATCATCAAACGGTAGACGAAAACAATGACGGTAAAAACCAAATTGAATTACCTTCAAGGTAGAAACGAAACGGAGAGGGTGGGGGGTGGGGGGCTGATAAGATTACCCGAAGACGCTGCATAGGAGGGCAGGGCGGGGGAGGGCGGTCCCGTGGCGCGCGCGTCGCCCCTGGGGACACCCGCGATCATTTCTTGACAGAGATAATAATTATACGACACACTTGTTTCATTGACGACACCCGGCGCCGGGGTTGCTAGAGTGACGTCATTTCGAGGGGAAATGACGTCAAGAGTCGGGTGGGTTCGGCAACGAGGGCGCTCGAATTTGATAGCGCGTCGCCCCGCCCCGACTGGAAACTTCTTTCCCGAAGATTGAACCCATTTTCCAGCTCATTTCGTTCCCGCGCCCGTTTTTTGCCGCCGGTGTTGTGATATGATTATCGGCTCAAATTATCCGTGAGCCGTGCCACCACGCCACGCCGCCAGGGGCCCCTCCGAAACGAATACGTCTGAGTTTTTAAGCCCCGGCCGGTTTGCATGCGAGTTGAATGGTACGATTTGAGACTCCATGGTGGTTGCAAATGAATCATTGTTTCCCAGACGAAAGAACGTAACTAAATTAGAAATTATTACACTTCCAGCACGAAGCATAATGAAAATTAACTCGAATATCTGTGCTTAACATCGCAAATTTGAATATTTTCGTTCGATTTTCAATTTTGAGTAGTTCTTCTCCATGCAAAAAAGTTTCATGAGGAATTCAAATTTGAAATTTTCACAAATTTTTCGTCTTATAGGTTTAGAGAGCCGCATATAAAGTGCAGCAGTGCATCAAGTAGATCATTCATGCTCCCATTCCAAAGTTCCTCCCTATATTGAAAATTTTCAACTCTGCTGAAACTGTGTCAAATTCCGCATGATCGCACCAAACTTCCCTGAAATTTATCGAAATTTCATCGAATTGTTCATCGCAGAAACTTCATCATATAAACTGCATTCCAGACCAGTTCAAAAACTTCTCCCCAGTATTATTCTATCACGCTCAAATTTTGAACAACCTTATAAAACTACCCAAATCGGTTGAAATCCCTTGGAATTTTAAAATTTACCAAATGAGTCTAGGGAAATCCACTACACATCGCATTCCAAACCAGTAAACTTAACTTATTACTCCGTCAAGCTGACTTCCGAAGACAGACCGAAAGATGCCACCAACCGCCGCACAATGGTAAAAGTCATCGCAGAAGTCGGTCAAGAAAATTTTGACAAAAATTGCGAACTTTGATGTTTATTTTGTCAAATTTTGAATTACATCGAACGCTTCCAACCGAAAATTTTACAAGAAAACCACTTTTAAACCCTTATCCTTTTGCGTTAACCGAGTTATAAGCGTTCAAAGTTTCCGAACTCTTCAATTAACTTTTTCCATTGTGCGCCGCGAAGAAAACTCGCTCATCGACGGCCAATCGCGGCTGCTCATTCCTCACCCGAGTCGCCCGGCCGCGGCCGCAGCGTGACCAAAACACCCAAGAGGGGGGGGGGGCACCGAAGTGGTATCGATGACACTCCCCCCCCNTTCGGAGGGGTCCGCGACGAATTTGTCCACCTGGCAGTAAAGAGGCATGTCAACCGCGCCGCACCCGCGCTACGCCGCGTCGCGACGCCCGGCCCGTGGAATTCGTCCACCCCGTGGCATGGGCCGGAGGGGGGTGGAGGGAGGGGGAAGGGGGCCACCCGGGGCGGGGGGCCGCGTGCCCCGGGATCCGATCCAGCTATTATTTTCCAAGCACGAGTCCTAATTATTTCTGGGCTCCGTTTTCCATTTACTTTTGATTATATCGTCCGGGGAAACTCACCGTGAATATTGGTTTAGGCCGATGCATCACCGACCCGCCCGGCGGAGCGGCGGCCGGCATGGGTTTTTTTCTTCTCGCGGGGCACCGATCGCTCTCGGAATTGTCCCCGATCATCATCTCGCTCTGTTTTTTCTTCTTCCAAGTGTCATTATTCTCGGCTTTATTATTTTTTTAACGAACTTACGATTCTCTTGTCCGATCGGTCGGTTCGGTTCGGTTCTGAGATCCGCTTTCGGCTATGAAAAGAATCGCGGCCTTACGTGTGGCTGTCGCGTTAGACACTCTTCTACCGCGCCACATAAGAGACAACGCCTTGAGGAAGTATTTTTGGTAAAGAGAACTATCTGCAAATTTGAAAAGAGCTTTTGGAGCACGTAAACACTATGCACATAGTTCCTTTTGATTTAAATACATTTTCACATGGTTTCTTTCCACATAATGCTGCCAAATTTTCCTTAACTGCGAGAGAAAGTTCGTTTATAGACAGTGTGGTTCACATTGGACACCGAAATTTTTCGGCTCAGGTAACCGAAGTTTTCCAACAAAGGAACCGAAATTTAGTCAGCTGAACCGAAGTTCGGTTTCTGTTTTTGAAAACTGCGGTTACCTCCACCGAAAATTTTCAATGTGCAACATGAACTGAACTTTTTTCTTTCTTGAGTTTTATGTAGTGCAGTATGGCAAAATGTGCCGTAGAAATGAGAAAAATTACACTTCAGCATAGAAAGGCTAATTCTGCATCATTTGGCGCAAATAACGCCCACAAATTCCTAAAAGCTGACCCATTGGCAAAAATTCAACGCTCGATGACAAAAAACCGTTAGTCCACGAGTCAAGCTTTAAATGACCTTTTTTCGATGGTTCAGACTCAAGCTTAGGTTGGCATTTTTGACGGTACGTTGTGCCAAAATTTCCTTGTAATACTCCTTTGAATAGCGGTATTAATACTTCAGCTTTGAATTTTTAAAAGATAATGTAAAATTCTGAATTTAAAAATTTCATGAAAATTTGGTTTTCAATTTTTTTTCCATTCCAATTTATTACTTTCAGTGTGTACCTATTTGATCAAATTTGTCCTTCAATTTTTTTCCATTTCAATTCATTACTTTCAAATGTGTACCTATTTGATCAAATTTGTCCAGACTCTTACATAAATTGCGTCAAATTTATGAAATTCTATCAAGCTTTGTGAAAACAGCGTAAAAAAGATCCGTTTCCATGAGACATGCGTAAGAACAGGGACAGGTCTGTGTAACTAAATATTTAAGGATTTCGAAAGGGTCAGGGTAAAAGTCTTCTTACCAATGTTTTTGCATAATTTGAGCAAACTTTAACTTGACTTTTTTCAAATTTAAAAATAAGAGACACATCAACGCCGATTGATGATTTCGCAGAGATAGAACTATTCGTGCTTGATTCGTGGGTTGATCACGGCGTAGAGATACAACTATTCGTCCTTGATGGATGTCCGTGATGCATCTGCAAAATTGAAGGCACGATGGCGCGGAGCGTGAAACAGCAATGCTTCCGATCCCGTGTCAATCAAATTCGGGAGAAAACTTAAAAAACGAGGCCCGAATATGGCTCTCCTATCTTCGGCTGTGTTGCTCAAGTAGCCCTGGAAGCACCATCGCAAAGAAGACACACAGAACCAACACTATATGGAAATAGAGCAAGTAAAAGGTCGCGCGATATTGACGGCGCAGAGATACTACTATTTGTACTTGATGGATGACCGTGGTGCATCTGCAAAATTGAAGGCGCGATGGCGCTAGTCGTAAATTCGCAATGCTCAGCCC